GTCCAAATTTAAAAACTCAAATAATAATCAACCGATTATGTCCTTCTTGAAGCCGCTCTTGAATCTGCGAGGCACCTGACTAAAACCTGAAAAGGACATATACATCACATTGAAGTTAGAAAAATAATCAAATAATACATCTCACAAATAACATTAAACAAAGAAATCATAGTCATTCCCCTACTAGTGGGCTTGGCTATATTACAGACCGGTTTAATTCCTATTTTGGTCCCACTTTTCGTAGGGTCTGTTCAAATTGGTCCTACTTTTTTTCAAAAGTTCACTAAGATCCCACTTTTCGCAAAAACGGTGCAAGTTAGTCCTTTTTGGTTACGGCGTTAAAAAACTAACGGCACAGCTGTCCAGCTGGAAGAAAACTGATGAGCTGTACATTTTTGTTGACGTGGCACTTGTAAAAGAAACCAACCTTGTCGCAGCCTGGGACCAGCTCTTGTAAAAGCTTCATGCGAGCATTGATCTTCTCTCTCCTAGCCTACAACAACAGAAAGAAACTCAGTTATGTTATATCACAACAAAATAATTGAAAATTAAAAGTCGGTAAAATTATAAAATACACTAAAGTGATCAAAATTAAACAAATTAATTAGTGATTAGTCAAGTCTTTACCCTTTCTGCCAAGCTATGGCTATCTGTGGCTTGACCTCGACGAACTCGAACGTGGACATAGGGAAGCTTCTCACTGTCAACGGAGGTCTCATCAGCGACGCTCTTACTCTTCTTCAAGGATCCTCTAACCTGAATTCCACAAAATCATGTACTATTTTATGTTTTGACCGTTCAATTATACTGTAAACAGGAACCCTAATTCTCTCGCTCCTTTCTCTTCGCGGTCGTCTTCTCGTTCTTGTTCTCAACAACAGGATCCGAAACACACCCTTGCGTGGAGCACGGGTTCGAATCAGTCTCTTGCGGCTCGTTCTTCACCCTATCCAAATTCGAACCAGACCCGGCCCGAAGCAGACATGCCTCCCCCGGCGACGTTGAGTTTTCACCAGCAAACACGGATTGTGGAAATGGCGAGAGAGGAGGGTAAACTACCAGTCAAGTTGTTGTAGGAGAGGCGAAGACTATGTAGAGAGGGAAATTTGTGGAAGATGTCGGGTAAGGCACCGGAGAGGGAAACAGAGGCGAGGTCGAGGTCGATTAGGTTGGTGGAGGAGGTGAGATCGGTGAGGAAAGTCCAGGGTGAGAGGAAAGGGTTGGAGGCTAGGCTGAGGGTTTGGAGGGAGTTCAGGGAGGCGAAGGCGGCGAAGGGAACGGCTGAAAAGTTGTTGCGGTTGAGGTAGGCCGTTTGGAGGAAGGAGAGTTGGGCGAGCGAGGGGAGGGGGCCCGAGAGTGCATTGTCTTGGAGAGAGAGGGAACGGAGTTGAGAGAGGGAATTGAGATCGGAGGGGAGCGTTCCAGTGAGGGACTTTGAAGCGAGGCTTATGCTGGTGACGCGGTTGGACGAATCGCATTGGATACCCTTCCATTGGCAGAATGGGGTTGTCTGAGACCAACCTGGAGGTGGTGGCTTCAGCGATTTAAGGAAATTGGACATCACCGCGTCATCGGCGGCGGCCACCAAGGTGGTAGTCATCACGACGGAAAGAAAGAAATAAGAGAGCTGAAGTAGGGTGATTGCCATGTAGAGTGCCACGTCAACAAAAAAATGTACAGCTCATCAGTTTTCTTCCAGCTGGGCAGCTGTGCCGTTAGTTTTTTAACGCCGTAACCAAAAAGGACTAACTTGCACCGTTTTTGCGAAAAGTGGGATCTTAGTGAACTTTTGAAAAAAAGTAGGACCAATTTGAACAGACCCTACGAAAAGTGGGACCAAAATAGGAATTAAACC